CCACAAAAAAATATCCCCCAAAAAAAGGAGGGGGGTGGTTTTTGCCCTTTTTTTTTTTTTTTTTTTTTTTTTTTTTTTTTTTTTTTTTAAATTGGGCTCTTCTGTGCCAGAATTGTAATTTCAGTGGTGGGGGAGAGTTAGTATGTAACTAGTATAACTTATCTGAGAAGGCAGACTTTAAATCAGTCTGATTCTAGATTTTCATGAATAAATTAGTCCCTTGCCAAGGCTGCAGAACATACGAACCATTCATGTGCTTTCTTCTTATTGGGCTCTTTTTTTTTTATAGCTTGGTATCACAATATTTGTTTTTTATCTTGAACAATTTGTTCTTCTGTGAACAGGCATCTTTACTACTTGTATCTTAGTTTGGCTTCCCTCTGTAAGGACAAGAAAAAAAATACATGTCAGCACAGGAAACAACGAAAGAGAATGAACCTCTTAATTCACAACTCCCTAGCCCTCCCCCACTGTTATGCTAAAACTTCCTTTTTTTTTTTTAACCTTTAAAGACTGATGCTGTTGTGTGATTTCTACTTTCCACTTCTGCATAGTAATCTAAATTGATTTCTTAGAACTGATTAACTCAATGTGGCTTTAAAAAAAAAAAAATGGAAGGAGAAAATCACAGCTGTTCTGTTATACGTTCTCACTTTAAACTGTGTGCATTGAGAGTGAGGTGTGTAGAGGTGAACTTGGCTGAGGGGGGGAAACCCTACTGGGTGGCAGATGGTAAGAGAAGAGGCTGTTCTTGACAGGCGCTCCTGGTTTGTGGCTGCCCTCGGGGCGGATGGGAGGAAATGCCTAGCCGCAGGCATTGGGGTAGGTGATGGCGGGAGGGGGGACAGGAGGTGGCACTGGGGTGTGATTCTGCCAGACGAGTGGCACTGAACACTTGTCCTTTTTGCTGTGCTTGTATTTTCTAGGTGCATCAGAGGCTTTCTCCTTGGCAGAGTGTGAGAGTGGTCTATTGCAGTACTGTAGTGCCCTCTGATGGTGAGTATTGACATGCAGAAACTTCTTGGCTCACTTCTGACTTCACTAACTTAAATCGTGTTCCCTGACCCCCTTCTGTGGTTGAGGCTGTTTTGGCTAGGAAGTAATCCACTTTTGAACTAAGGAAGTGACAGGGAACAAAGTCAGTCAAGAAGAATTAAGGAAATGTTTTCTAATAACTGTCCTTACAAAACCAGGCAGGCTTTATAAAGAAAGATGTAATTGTGTGCAACTGTCCAAATTTTTTTGCCAGACTTTTTCCTGCTGTAGCCGTGAGGTTTGTGTGATGCCTGCCTTCCAGGGTACTGTGTGCACTGTTAACTTCATGTAACGAAAGTGCAGTTCGTACCAGCTACTTGCTCAAATGATTGAAAGCACTGTTTGCTGCAGTGAATAAGTTGTGAAGCCAAGGCAATTTTGTTCCTTTATTTAAATTTTGGGGCAGCTCAGACATTAAGCTTTTTTGATAAGGTTCTCATAACATAAAGCAAAAGAATGCACTGGTGGAACTTTAAAAAATCTCAGTATGCCAGAATGCAACGAGGAAACAAGCAGCTTTGAGGTCGCTGCCTGCTTAACATCTGCATGCTGTGCACAAAGACTAGAGCGCTTATGCTGACTGACATAAGCAGTTAGTGGATCCCCTCCCCATTAAGGCTTGTTAATAAAGGCTGAAAGCTAATAAAGTAAAGGGTTCCAGCACAATTGCTTCCCCTGCCAGGATAGCGAGTATGTGCAAACACAAAGAGAACATGACTGCTGTAGAGAATTCAAAATGAAAGCCTGAAGGCTTAAACAGGTAGAAGTGTAGAGGACACAAGTAAGGTTGAGAGGATAATGTAAGTGTGTAGCTACTTGCCTGATTTGATTTTACCTCTCCTCATATTGTGCTTGAGTGTTTCTCTTGTTATTTCTTCCAATAACTTCGCCTTTACCAGTAGTAGATGTTCAACACTGACTTCTTTGGCCACACCCTTTTTATTTTTTACTTACTGTACCTTGTTTTGGCCTAATACATTGCTTAAGTTGTTCTTACCCAAGAACAGAAGTCTTTAAAAAAAATACTAATGACCTGTTACTGGTACACATACGGTTGAGTCAAAACTTTGTGGTGCTTGGATGGAATTCATACCTCAAAGCAACCTCATGCTTCATATAGCGTATAAAGCTTTTAAAATCCTCCATGGTCTTATTTAGCAGCATCCTTGGCCAGGTTGTAGGTATCTGTAAGTGTAAGCAAAATACACTTGTATACAATTAACTTGTCCCATGTATTTAAATACTGGCTTGAAATTTAATCAGTGAAGATTAGCCAAAATGTTAGCTTTATAATTAGTGAAATGCCAAAATGGTTTGTCCACTTGTGGTTGCCCTTATGCAGGCAATCCACAGGGCTGTCAGAGCAGAGGAGAACAAGGCAGACAACCATATCGCAGTGTCTTGTTAATAACTTTTACTGGAGCTGTCTGTTGCTGTCTGTTAGGTTTGTGTTATTGACATGTCCTTTGGATTTTTTCTTATTTTTTTTTATTTGCCTCTGAGCTCTTCCCTCTCTAATGCAGTAAAAATCTGACCAGACATTACTTGTGTGGGAGGTGATGAGAGAACCACACTGGAATTATGGACTTTCTCCACCAGTGAATTAGGCTAGAAAATTACTTTTACAAGCTTTTTGTAAGGAAAACATAAACCAGCTGTAATTCTGGACTTACTGAGCTTGTTTGCTGAAAGAAATAATTTGGTCTTTAACGCTTCACCTAGGCTGGAAATCCTCAAGAAAGGTTTTGTGTGTGCTACCAATGCTGATGACTCTTGGTGCAGTCTGGCCTATTGTGTTTATCACTGTGGTCTCTGTCTGGTCTGTGGAGCGTTAAAATGCTGCAGGGCTGGTGCTGGTAGGCCCTTCCTCCAAAGCTGGCAGTCACGGAGCTGCGGTGGTTGTGTTGTACCAATGGGGATACACGGAGAAGTGTTGGCGCAAACATTGTTATCTGTTCTGCTCTACAATAAACTGGCTCACTGCCTATGTAATGAAGGTAGCATTTTAAATAAAGAATGTTTTTCCTGTCTTGTGGTTATGTAAGCAGTACATGTGTTAATATGTGTATATTACATAAGTTGTATACAACATAAGTTGTATACGCTGCTCGCAGAACCAATTAATTCAATACTTGAGAAGCTTAAAATAGCCACTTTAACATGTTGATCTGAGCCTGCTATCACAAGTGTAGCTAATGCTAATCTATTTCTTACCAGCCTCTTGCTCAAATACTTGAGTGAAAGAATGCAAAAATCTGATAGCTGGTGTCATAACAGCTGCTGATAAGGAGCTTAAAATTCTGTCTAACTGTCCAAATAAATTGGCAGTTTGCTTAATTTTTTTTCAGTAAATATCTGACTGTTGTCTGAGTTTTAATCTTCAAAACACTAAAGCTACTCAAATCCTGTCAGGTGTCTGAGTCTCAATAATAGGCATTTATAGATTTCCAAATACTGGGGTCTCTTGGGGTGCTTTAGTCATTGTAGAAGTCCATACTTGGTCACTTCCACCTAGTCTTTAAAGATTAAATGAGGAGCTCTTTGTCAGTACTGGACAGCAATCCCCTGGAAGAGGGAAAAAGCCTTTGCATGCTTGATTCAATTCATGAAGGCATGTGACAGTAAACTCAAAAGCCCGAGAGAGCTCTTCTGGCTCTGTAAAAGTGTACCTGGCACATCCTTTCTCAACATCCATGAGCCTCTGTTTTTGGAAAGGCATGTTGCCCCAAGACTTGTCCTAATATGCAAATGATCCTCTGATAAATGAGTTCATCGGGCAGCAAATCACTGAAAGGGGAGGTATAAAGGCTGTTGGTGGCAAAACTTTCTGAACAGTGGCATGCTGAGAAATGGTTTCTTTCGGTAGTTAAAATTACATTATTTGCTTCTATTTCTACTTGCGTTGACTTCTTTGACCAACTAGTTTTGATGTTAGCTACTTAAATTGACTTGGCATGCCAATATGTGAGTTAGATGAGTTTAGATGGTGTGGTTCATGTAGTTGGCCAAAGCTACAACGGGGGAATACTAAGCCAGATGCAGTGTAGGTGGGTGTGACTGCACAGTCCTTGAGACATGGCAAATGTTCTGTGCAGTAAAAAAGACCTTACGTTTTTACATAAGAAAAATACGTAGCAATCTAAAGTGAATCATTTTTAGGTGTGCTGCTATATCTTAGCAACTACTGCACTGGGGGAAAATTTCCACTGTTTGTGACTCAGTAGAATGTGAACTCTTAACTTTTTTCTGTGTGTGGATATCCTGAAGCACACAGAGTGGGCTTTCTTTCTGGCAGGAAAATAACTAGCTTACAGTTCATACAGGTGACTACCATAAATTTTAGGAAGGTGCACTGAAATCCTTAAGAATGCTCTTGGAAAAGCTCCTGACAGCACTAAAGAAATGGAAAATGTTGTTTTATCTACACCTAAGTAGTAATGTCTATCTTCTGAAGTACAAAGTGTATTGATCCCATGAATTTTAGATGAAATGACCTTGAAGCTTAAACTCAGAACGCTGTTCCTACAACCTCATACTCCTGATGGCTCTCTTAAATATTTGTTGCCTTAGAAGAGGAGGAAACCAGAACTAAACAAGAATAGAAAGGTTTGAAGTAGGTCCTTCCTTGATGTTTCCTAATATACACAGTCTGCCTTTGTCTTCTGGACTATAAATCCTGATAAATTGCACAGTGTTTTGTCTTCCATAGTCCAAAATACTTTGGTTCTCAAAAGCTAATCAAAACATGCTATGCTGCCATGTTGTGGCTTTTAGATATCATGTTGCCTTTAGTATAAATGTGATTGTGCTTAGAGTAAGTATCTTCTACTTTTCTATAAAGCACAGAAAGTTTAACAGATACTGCCAAGTTAATGGAAGTGAAAACCTCTGAGATCGCTCAGGTTTTCTTTGACGGACACATCTCTTGATAAAAGATGAACTAAAAATTTAAAATCTCTTTCGTGTTCAGCATAACCATGTTTGTCTTTTTCTCCATGGGACTAATATAGAACTGCTAGAAGATGATCTGTTATTTTTTTAATGCTAAACTTCTATTTTTGTTTTCTTTGTAGAAGTGACGGTGGTTTACCAAAACGGGTTACCTGTGATTTCTGTGAATCTTCCGTCCCGGCGTGAGCGTTGCCAGTTCACGCTTAAACCTATCTCAGACTCTGTTGGTGTGTTCTTACAACAGCTGCAAGCAGAGGACCGAGGAATTGATCGGGTTGCAATCTACTCAGCAGGTACTGTTGTTTACAAACGAATTGATTCACTTGCTTGCCAGCTATTTCCATCCAGCCTTTTGCTTTTTAAGTAAAAGCTTGTTATGATGTGAGTTCTTGGACATTCCTGAAAAAGTAGAAGGTAAAAATGCCATTCCTAGAGTAAGAATATTGTTAGCTGTCCCTGTGTAGTTAGGTCTGCCAAGGAAATCTGACTGTAGAGTGAAGGAGGATGAAAACATTCCTAATGCTTAGCTTGTCTCTATTAAGACTAATGTCTATATTTTTGGTGAGTTTCTTACTATTTAGTAGGAAAGATGCAAGTTACGCAATCTACATAGAGGTTCTAATCGGTTTGTAAGGAATTGGGTGTACAGGTGGTACAAGGGAAACAGTATCTTGCTTAGCTATGAAAACTCAGTCATATTTCACTTGATATCATATTTTGCTATGTTTTGCTGAATTGCTATGTATCTGCTAGCCACCAAAGCTCTGAAACATCGCGAGGATGTCTTATGAAAGTGCTATCAAAGCAGGTATTTCCTGAAAAGTCTGGGCCTGGGCCGGAAGGTGTTTGCTAGGTTAGTGATGTCAAAGCTGTCCAATACCAGAGATTGAAATAATCATTTCTAATGCCAGTGAGGAACAGAGACAGATCACTTAAGTGGATCATATTACAAAACATAGTAAAATATTCGAAGTGTGTAGGATGAAGTGAACTGCTTTTCATAAGATGACCGAAAATATCACAAATTTAGAAAAGCAGCTGCATACATAGCTCAGCTAGTATTTGCCATGTAAGGTCTCCCAAACTATATATCCGTCTTGACAAAGCGTATTGTGGAAGTCCAACAACTGGATTTGGGGTGGCATTACAACTTGCTTAGCCACAACATGTTTAAGTGCTTTGTTTCTACTGTTTAATGAGTCATCTGTGTTTGCCTTACAGATGGCACACGTGTTGCCTCCTCCACAGGCATAGATTTGCTTCTGCTGGATGACTTCAAACTGATCATTAATGATGTCACATACCTTGTTAGACCACCAAAGAGAGGTAAACCAGCCTGGTTCTGGTAAACATCAGAAAGAAATTTCAGTATTCGGTTCCCTGTTTAATTGCAGCATGCTTTATTAACTTGTTCAAGAACATGAAGTGTTATTTCTAAAGGAAACCTTGCAGTTTCTAATCCTGCCTTTGGAGCCTAATTTAGTGATATTCAAGTAATCTGAGTAGGCAGCGATGAAAAGCAAATATTTGTTCTGCTCAAAGCCAGTACCCCCCGTAAGAGGAATAAATGAAGAAATGTAATTTCTTTTTGTTTCTAAATTTTTTGGATTTTTTTTTTCCTAGTTACCGAAAAGTAATTTAATTTAACTTATTCTGAAGGAGTACAATATAAAATGGGAATTAGATTGAAACTTACATTATCCGATTTGGAAGAATAAATCCTTCCCTCACCTGACAGTTAACATTGTTTCCTTTTAAGTGTGGTATTTTGAATATTGCAAATAAACCTTGAAATCTTGTTAGCTAGCAAACTGAAATAAATGAGACAGTGCTCTTACAAGGTTAGATTACTAAGAATCAAATAGGAAGGGAAACAACCTATTTTGAATCAATAAGAAAATCCTTTTAAATAACGGGCTTTGGACACTTCTGTAAGCTTCAAGATGTGAAAACTTGCAAGAAGCTTTTGAGACACTCCAGAGTTACTGGCAGAGGCAGGAACTTGCTATTTTCATCTGCTGTCTACTCTTTCTGCTAGGCAACTTTCTAGGCTTAATGAAGCCCCTGGTTCTTGCATGCCTATACTTACTGCTGAGGACTTAAAGGACCAGTTTTGGAAATGTTGATCTGCTTGTTGCTTGGCTCACAGACAGTGGGTGATTTTTGTCTACCTTACTGTTCTGTTATTGTTGCAGGCAATAATGTGAAGTTTGCAAGCAGTATTTTTCTAAAAGGAATTTTTAGCCATGTAGACAGGCAACCAAATTAGGAAGGATTTCTAACTTGACTTGCACATCCAATTGAGGTTAGATGGTGAAAATGTCTTCCCCTGTTTATCTGGATGTTTTTCCCTAGTGTTTGGGTCTTTCTCTCCTATGCCTCTGTTCAAGCAGTAGGTAATGAACAAAATCATTCATAAGGCAAAAGCTGTGAGGGAACTCTTAATGTTCCTTTTACCATCTTGAGCAGCCTGAATAAAACAACATGCTAAAGGAAGTTCATCTATCAAAAGTCATGAGACTGACCATATCTTTTGGGTCTGAGACTGCCCTGGGTGGCCGACTTCTAGGAAGATCTGCTGATGTACGCCATCTTCCTCTGTAGATGTAGTTAACTTCCAAGGACCTTTTTGCAGGGAAAATAATAAAAACGTGTTCTAGCATTTTATTGTTCACAATATAAAAATACCAAGTAAAAAAGAAATTTCTGACTCGGGGAACTCCGTGCAGCCGCTTGTCCTTAGTATGTGGGAGACTCTGAAAGTGGGGAGTGCAGCATTGGTGAGGTGCTGTTTCTCCCCTATATGTGGGTTAGACTGACCTCCACTGGAGATGTTTTTTTTCCAATCTCCTTAAAAGCACCTTAACAGAAAACTCTCCGTTAAGACTGGATATCTAAATCACTGGATATCACGCACACACACAAAGTTACTCTCTGCTCTCTCACCCCACTGTGTCCTGAATGTGGTACTTTCACACACTTATAAGATGTTGTAAGCCAGAGAAGCGGAGTGAGGATTTTAACAAGGTATCTCTTCCAAGTGCTAGCCCCTGAGAGCAGGTGACAGTATCAAGCCTAACTGGTCTAGTCTGTAATTTTTAGTACAACTAAATGAGAATGCGAACATGGTGTCTGTTTCTGCACTGGAGAGATTGCTGTCCCAAGGTAAGGCAATTCATACAGCCCCCTTACCTAATGTTTAAGAGAGCAAAGTCTGTCAGTGAGTCGGTGTGGTTTTGGTTAGCTCGCCTGTATGATATACCCATTGTGCGCTGGTAGGTGAGCTCTGGGATCACCTAGGTTACGTGAAATTGCTGCCTCTGATTCATTTGCCAAAGAGATTTCTATAGTTAGCTTGTATTAAAATGAATGTGCCTGTAAATAGGCACTGAGATTAGTTCTGTTAAACTTTTCAGCTATTGCTTTTCCATTTTTACAAAATCACCCTGTATATTTTGAAATGGAAATGCCAGAACACTGTAATCTTAAATACTAAGTACTTTTTGATGGTCCGCTGCAATAGGAACACTTTTTTTTTTTTCTTCATAGGGGAACAGGAGCCCTTTAGCTGGGAGGGGGATGTGGTGTGCTTTCTGTGTGCCTTGGCGCAGACAACTGAATCACTTGTTTCCCTTGAGCTGCTAGTGTTAAAACTTAAGCTGTCTATAGCTTTTTATGTGTTGGTAAAATCATATTTTGAGAAGATAACCTAAGGTACAAGCCCAAGGATGCTACAAAAAATTATTTTTTAAAAAATTTATTTCTTTATTTGGCTAATGTCAAGTTCTTTTGCTTTAATTTGAAACTTGTTTTTTCCCCTCATGTGTAATACAATACCACTAGTCACAACTGTTACGAATTGATTTCCTTTAGGAATCCTTTTTGTGTTGAAATGCAGGGATAAAGGCAGTTGCAGTTAGTGGCCCTGTTACTGTCTTTATTTAAATACTGTGAGGGAGAATTTAATTGCCCTGTAGGCAGCACAGCACAGGGTTGTCCACAGTGTGTTGGGAAACAATTCCTGGAGTTGGTACTTGAAATAATTATCATAAGACTGCATGTTCTGGGGCCGCTAACCCAAGATCTTCGGTTGCAGTCATCAGTAACTATGGTTGCTGATGGTCTGTAGTCTGAATTCTGGCTGTTTCTTGACAGCTGGTGTGATGGATCATACTAGTTTAGTTTTTCATTTGTCTTCGTTAAATCTTGTATATAAATATGCATCAGAAATAGCTGTTGATATCTGTCAAGCTAATAGCATGTATTTCTTCTCCTTGTTCTTATCAAATTTTAGGAATATGCAATAATAAAGCCTCATTTTCTTTTGAAGAAATTGCATTGTCTTAGGGTGCTGGAGCTCTTACAAAGGCTTCTTTGTTGAGAAGATAGTTTCATGCGTTTCCTGTGCAGACTAATAGCAGTTTCTGAAGAGTATATAAGAAGTTCTGTGGATAAATGCATATAAAAGCAGTATCTTTTTTTTTTTTTCCTAGAGCTCTTAAGCCATGAAAACGCAACGACGCTGAATGATGTCAAGACATTGATTCAGCAGTTGTGTTGT